CCCGCCCCCTAGCCACTCATTAACCACTTCCTGTCTCCACATCTGTCCTTCATCAAGAATGGAGCCAGGAGGAGTGAGACTCCACACATGAGGGCCCATCATCCGGGGATGGAGAGATGTCATTCACCTGCACACAAGGAAAGTACCTGCCTGGCATACTGTGGTCCCTGGTCCAGCCTGTAGGCCCTTTTATCTTTGGGGTCATGGGCCAGGGGTCAGGGGGTCAGGGGTCAGCGGTTCAAAGACTGTCCAGCAATCAAGATAAACTGAGACCATCCGCTGAGGTCCATTGGTCCTTCACGACCCGCCGAGGGCAAGCTGACCGCGCCTGGGGCTACCTGCTGGTTTGGGTGGAGGTCCCGTGTTGTCAGGACGACCATGGCCTAGGTGTCAGCCGAGGGATACAAAGGCCCCCTCCATAGACCGCACAATCTGTGTATATGTCCCCTCCATAGACCGCACAATCTGTGTATATGTCCCCTCCGGCCCCCTCCATTGACCGCACAATCTGTGTATATGTCCCCTCCATAGACCGCACAATCTGTGTATATGTCCCCTCCATAGACCGCACAATCTGTGTATATGTCCCCCTCCGGCCCCCTCCATAGACCGCACAATCTGTGTATATGTCCCCTCCATAGACCGCACAATCTGTGTATATGTCCCCTCCGGCCCCCTCCATTGACCGCACAATCTGTGTATATGTCCCCTCCATAGACCGCACAATCTGTGTATATGTCCCCCTCCGGCCCCCTCCATAGACCGCACAATCTGTGTATATGTCCCCTCCATAGACCGCACAATCTGTGTATATGTCCCCTCCATAGACCGCACAATCTGTGTATATGTCCCCCTCCGGCCCCCTCCATAGACCGCACAATCTGTGTATATGTCCCCTCCATAGACCGCACAATCTGTGTATATGTCCCCCTCCGGCCCCCTCCATAGACCGCACAATCTGTGTATATGTCCCCTCCATAGACCGCACAATCTGTGTATATGTCCCCCTCCGGCCCCCTCCATAGACCGCACAATCTGTGTATATGTCCCCTCCATAGACCGCACAATCTGTGTATATGTCCCCCTCCGGCCCCCTCCATAGACCGCACAATCTGTGTATATGTCCCCTCCATAGACCGCACAATCTGTGTATATGTCCCCCTCCGGCCCCCTCCATAGACCGCACAATCTGTGTATATGTCCCCTCCATAGACCGCACAATCTGTGTATATGTCCCCCTCCGGCCCCCTCCATAGACCGCACAATCTGTGTATATGTCCCCTCCATAGACCGCACAATCTGTGTATATGTCCCCCTCCGGCCCCCTCCATAGACCGCACAATCTGTGTATATGTCCCCTCCATAGACCGCACAATCTGTGTATATGTCCCCCTCCGGCCCCCTCCATAGACCGCACAATCTGTGTATA